ATGGGGGGGTCCTCAGGGGCAACAAATACCTCTTGTTTGGTAATATCCTCCCCAAGTGGAATTAAAATGTCCAAAGCAGTGGGGTTAGACCCATCCTTATTCACTTAAATCTTAGACTTCAAATTTGGATGAAACTTTTGACATTTACTAAGGACATGACCAAACATCTTACAGTGGGTACAATATGGGGGTCTGTGCAACATGACGATTTGTTGGCAATGACCATTATGGGTTATGCCCAGCAAGACTTCAGTAACATCAAGTAAAGTAATACCCCTTTCCACAAGTATTCTGGTCACCGAGGGTCTGGTTAGGTTGAAAGTAGGCAGATCTAGTTTCAAATGATCCCCAAGAATGGCCCCAATAGAGTAGAGAAGCCCCAATAGAGTAGAGAACCTAGAGAACCTGATGGTGAAAAAAATACAGCTTGAGACCAGGTAAACTAAATCATACTGGTATAGTGGGAATTTCATGATTTGGGTGGAAATCAGGAGACCACTTGAGTAGCTTTATAGGTTTACCAGCGATGCTAAGATATTTTCTGGAGAAAAGCCGAGTATAGTCCTCAGGCACGGTTAATTGAATCAATACATGTCTCACATCCATAAGTCTCACTTTCAACTTTCCTGTTAGTTTGAGGCTATCAAAACTTTTTCTGATAATTTCCATAAGTGGGTGTCCCCACTGAAATTTTTCAATGAGAGCAAATTTGAATTTGTCAGTCAGCGTTGAAATTTTTGAATTTGATTTGAATTTGTCAGTCAGCGTTGAAATTTCTGACGTGGAGAAAAAGAGTGGTCTTCCCACTTTTTCTGCTTGCATTCTAAATAAATGGACAGTTACCTTTACCATCACAATGCTCCTTATAACATGAAGGGAAGACAACTGCCGTCTCCCCATGAGGATTACCTATCACGTGGGTAAAGGAGGTTTTGTCAGGTTTAATCGAAGAAGGAAGCTCCATCACCAGCAAAGAGAAGCCCTTCAAGTCAAAAAAGAAGAACTGCTAGAAAAAGGCTAGCAGACAGGAGTTTTGTGGCTCTGTCAAGAGGAGAGGAGCCGTACCAGCGAGCCGTTGTTAGGGCTATCGAGTCGTATGAAGGAGGGGAACCAGAGAAGACAAGATTTGTTACGCGAGCTACTACGGGTGTCGAGCGGCGAGCGAACCGCTACGGGGTGAGGATCGATCCGCGAGCGAGCGTCGTCGACTACGGGAATTCGATAGATATAAGCCGCGAAGAAGAAGAGCAACTCGTGGCTCCCTACGTGTTAATATAAAATTAACGTATAAAAAGAGGGAGGGTAAGAGGATCCCCATCTAAAAATAAAGAAAAGATTCCTAGGGGTTCCTCTATCTACAGTACAACTCCACACTAAAAAATGAAAAAGGAAACCGTGTACCCAAAAATACATGAGAAGTTGTATGCCAAAAAGAAAGTATACCCAATAAAGATGTACACCAAAAAACAAATAAATGACACCATAAAATCTGAGAAAATAGCTCCAGGGATACGGTGAGTTCGATGAGATGGCACACACATCCAATTGAGATCCAAAAAAAGTCTTGTGCATCTCAAACCACATGAAGATCCTGCAAAAAACAAAAAATAGGAAGAGAAGGGTTCCTCTAGCACACAGTCAACTTTGTAGTCCTGAAAGGAGCATGAAAGAGCCGTTGCAGAGAATTAAACATAAAAACAGAGTAGAAAAATAGTTTCACGAGAGGAAGCCTCTTCTGCCTAAGGAGCAGGAGCTGGTAAAGCAAGCAAGGCTTAGGAACTAAAAAGCAGGTGATAAATAAACCACCACAGATACCGAAGGTAGAGCTAGGGACCATGTAATGGTACAGACGATAATGAGCAGTCGAGGAGCAACCACAACCACAGACCCTAATCATTAGACAGCAAGAGTCCATTCCAACCTGAAACAGAAAAAAGCCAGCAGAAAGGGGAAGAGAGGAGAACTGAAAACCCTGAAAAGAACTGAAAACCCTAAAAAATGCCTATTAGTCCGTCCCAAAAGTTTGGCCAAGTCAAGGACAAACCAAACCACCAAAATGAAATGCTAATAGGAATCATCATGAAGGAAATAAGGAGCATCAATCTTGTCTATATATATTTAGGAAAAAAACAATTCGTAGCTCCCTACGTATTAATATAAAAAGAGGTTACATAAAGAGGGAGGGAAAGTGGATCCTCATCTAAAAGTAAAAAAGAAATACATTAAGGTCCTAGAGGTTCCTCTTTCCACAATACAACTCCACACAAAAAAGAAGAGGAAAACATAAAGGTATAGTATATCCAAAAATACATGTGACCCAAAAAAAGTATACCAAACAGAAAAAGTATACTCAAAATTGACATGTACACAAAACACAAAATCTCAGTGGTCGTGAGGCATCTGCAAATCACAAAGAAATGCACCAGAAGATTCCACATGGAGAGTAGCTTTAAAGTCCGAGGGGTACTCCACGCAAATAAGGTCATTCGTAATAGCTTTAAAGTCGAAAGCATTGAAATGCAGCACTACTTAGCGTGACGGCAAGCTCCATAGATACATCTCGCAAGCAGCAGAACCGAGCAGAATAGAGGTAGTAAACATCCAACAAGTACAGCATAAGCATAGCATAATTGTTTCAGATCGAAGCATAATTTTTCCACATCGAATATCCAACAGGGGTAACAAAATGATGCGTGTCCCCGAAATAACAGAGAGCTAATACCCAAGAAAAAATGTTCCAGTTCAAAACAACCATGTAAACCGCAGAATAGAAACGAAAATCATCAGCAAAAAAACACCAGCAAAATCCAACAATAAAGTCTACCTAAAACCGAAACCAAAGCAACTCCTCCAGCAAACTTTAAAGCCCGAAACAAAGTATGTATATATATATATATATATATATATATTTAGTTTGATACTATTTATGGCCCAAATAGTTCATCCTACATTGTTGGTACTGATTTACAATTGGCCGAACTAGTTAGGAGCGAGCTTGGCTGTAGAGTTAGGGGGGGCGGGGGGATTATAATAAAGATTGAATAGCATAGGGAAAGTTTGAATGAGTCAAATCGAGATAAATATGCAAATTAAGATTATAAATATATTAACTTAAGCTTAATTTACAAATTTCATAAAATTTAAGAAAAAGTGATTTTGGGTTGTGTACACTAGGCAGCGAGCTCAAGGAAGGTCCGATGAAACTCGTCGCGAGATTGTTCTATCAATTATGGTGAGATAATTAATTGTAAATGAAGTAAAACTGATATTTAGAATCATTATGTGCGGTTGTCTTACATATTTGTTTATTAAGTGATTTACGTTAAAAATTAGAATTTAAAATTATTTATAATTATTGAATATCTGCATGCTCCACAGAAAAGCAAACTTAAATATAAATTATTGATTTTATTGATTTCGTGTATCTGTGTGCATGACAAATAAATGATTTGCTTGCAAGTACATTCATATAAGCAATTTCGCATACAAAAAAAATTATAATAGATAAGTGATTAAAAGAATTTCATAAGCATTGTGATAAATAAACTGTTTTACAAATAACTTCAACAAGGAAAGATTATAGAGAATTGCTTGAATTCAGACTCTCTATATTGAGATCGGAGAGGACCATTTGGTAAGAGAGGGGTTGTTGATAAGTGTCATGTCAGGACAACCAATCTTTATCAACAGTTATTATAGTTGACTGGTAGGATTATATGACTGAAGAAAATAAAATGATCCAAAGCATATGAAGATTCAAGTGACATTCTTAAAACAAGAAAACAAATAATAAAAATGAAAGCACAAGGCATATAGAATTTGCACATAGAACACTGATTATTTTATTATATTAACGCCATGTTCTGGTATTTTCATGTATTCAAGCTTGTTATTATTCCAGTTCACTCATTTGAGTCATTATCAAGCACGCATATTGTTCCTTTTGTGTCTATTGAATTTTACTTTGATATTATTATCTCACTGGGTCCATAACTTACCCTATACTATATTATTGATTTTTGGGAGAGGTAATGATCAAGCGGGAAATGAATTAAATGACTCCACTTTTGTACAACTTTTGAATTGAATAAATTTTGGATAACTTTCTGATAATTTTTTTGGGTACATATGTTTTTAAATTTGTGTTTAGCAGCTTTGTATATGATTTGAGATTTATTTTTGCATGCTTCTTTGGTTGGTTTGATATGAATTGATGATTGAAGAAATATAATGTATTATAACGGTTGAGTAAGTCTAGGGGTGTAAACGAGCCGATTGAGCTCGGACGAATCTTGGTTAGAGCTTCAGCTTGATTAACTAATCGAGCTCAAGCTAGCACACGTGCTAGTTTGTTTATTATAAATAAGAGAATAATATTAACTTACACTAGTGTTATAATAAAATGACAAATTATTTGAACAATTGTAAAATAAATGATAAGAAATCTTGATTTAAAATATAAAATACTTTTTTATAACCATTTTTAATAATTTAAAAATAAATTTTTCATAATTCATATCTTTTGAGCATATTTTATATTAATATTTTTTCAAAAGAGCCCTAACTAGTCGAATTTGTGCTAACTCATCAAGCTTAGCTCGCAAGCCACATATTGAACCGAGCCCGAGCAGGCTCACGAGTCAACTTGGCTCACTTACAACACTAAGTGAGAACAATACTTTACCGATTTGGTCTTGATTTGTGCAAGGACTAGTGTTAGTGGGAATTAAGTATAACTTAATCGTCCTCCTCTACTATACTATTTGACCCTAGAGGAGAGTCAGCTAAGGTGTGACAGTTAACCTGGCATATAAATAAGTGTGATAAAGTACTTAAACAGACTAACAAATAATGAAAAGAAACAAAAATGTATTTAGAACAAATATGAGCTCTGTGAGTGGGGACTAGCATGCCATGGAAATGTGAATAAACAACAGAACGCCAACACAAACAAAGAAACATGCTTTTAAATTCCAATGCTCAAAGGAACATTATCATACCAGTGACATCGATCTCCTTTAGCACTGTTCCATAGGCACAGTTATCACACATTCCTGAAATATTCATGGCCGCATTAAGCAAATTCATACAAATTTCTTGGTCCTTATTAGAAATTGTATAAATAGTCGCTTCTTAATGCACATTAAAAGTTACCATTACAGTCCTGTGGGGGCTCCCCAAAATGATGAAAGATGGCACTTCGTCGGCAACATTTCTTGGACTGTAAATATGAATGGGTTAAGAGTTCAGTAATATTGATCTTAAAGCACCATGGCCGTCTTACGGAGATTTACTCCAACGACTGTTTAGTATTAATTTACCGATAAAGATTGACTTGCTTTCCTATCATATTCTTAAAAATCTACTGAATATCATAGATATTAAAAAACTTCAAGATGATTAAAGTTTACCTGACAGTATCTAACAATGTCATAAAGATTCTGCAGGCCAGAATTCTCATAAAATACCATTGAACTCTGTTACAACAATTATTTTGACATCAGTTGCCAGAAAATAGTTGAAAAGGATCAGCTTCGCCTGACATACATACCTGTCGTGGAACATCAGTAGGTTTATAATACAGAATGCATTCTGAAGGAAGACCATCTCTGCCAGCTCGCCCACTTTCCTGTATTGCAAGAGGTTAAGCAAATCCACTGCTTAAAGTAAAGCATACAAGCGATTTAAAAGTACCTGATAGTATGTTTCCATTGATTTACTAAGGCTGTGATGAATGACAAACCTGACTATCATCAAAACAAAATGCTTAGTCAGTGAAAAGCTTAAAAGATATCTATGGGAGAAAACAACAAGACTGGTAAACTCAAAAAGTTTTGGCAAGAATATAGCGTATAACACGCATGAGCAGGTGCGTGCAAATATCTTTCCATTTAAAAAGTTTTCGAGGGAGTAGTTTAGACTTGTCTTTGCATTGCAAAGAGGCAATTTTTACTCCCATGTTTTTAGTAAACAATAAGATGAGAAGCTGTATATAAACAAGTAGAGAACTATCAAGAAAATAATAGTAATAATAAACCAGGATGCTAGCCGTTACTTTTAGAGATCAAGAATTAAATACAATGCAGAAATAAAATTTGTCGTCCATAAATTACTACACTGTTGTAGATGAAATGTTGACATTCAGGAACAACTAGACTGTTGTAAATGGAAAGCTTTTGTCCACATATTACTAAGCATTATCAATAATATTTGTTTGTCGTTGATTAAAAGGTGCTAGCTATAAATTCAGCATTTTTTAAGCAACCCCATAAGCTGGATTATATGTGTTGATCATGCCAAACCTATTGACTAGTTTATCACTCATAGGTAAAATGACGCGGGACGCAAAAAGGCACCCCTGTAGCGGGGCATTGAACACACGGGACAGAAATCAAGCGATAACTCGTGAAAGCGAGAGGAAGTGCGAAGGCGGGAGAAGGGATCGCGAAATTTTGCAAACCAGGAAGTTGCATCGCGAGTCCGCCGCACCCGTCTTCATTTGAAAAGTGTTTTTTGAATTCTTTTTGTCTTCCCACTAACATGAGTCAATTTTACGTGATTTTACTTGCATATTACCATTTTTTTACTTGTTATTTTAACTTATTTATCATGATTTTATGCTTGTGAAAGGTTTTTGTGTTGTCTTGTAGGTTATAGTTGTCAAGCATGCCAAATGGAGTCAAAATGCGTAAAATGTATTGTTTGGCGTGGACACGCCAGATATGGGGGCGTGACCACGCCAGTTTAGGGTGTGACCACGCCAGTTTCAGGTGGGGCCACCGAACGACCAAAATAAGATTTTGAGTGTCTTCATGCTTGTTTTGGACCTATTGACGGATTTTGAGCGATTTAATGCCTCCTATGGACCTATTGACTGATTTGAAGAGATTGCATGCTTATTTTGGACTCTCAATGTAAAAACCTAATATAAATATGTGTTTATCTCATGAAAGAGGGGATCTTGGCCTGTTATTGACTTTTGGGAGAAAAGGAGAGTTGGAAGCAGCTTGGGCACAAAAGTTGAGGGTATTTTTCATCTTTTTCACTTTGTATTTTCTTAAAAATTTTAAGAGATTATTGTATAAGATAGGAGTTGGCTGCTGTGAAAGATGACAAATTGTTTTGTAAGTTTTTATCTTTGGTTTTTACTTGCAATAATGATTTCAATGAAATGTTTTTCCTCCATTCTTTCCACTATTTATAGCTAAATTTCTTTTTGAGCTTCTATGATTCATGTTATGTGATTTTTGTGGTTTTCTCAGATGATTTCTTTCCCTGTATGGTTTTCTTGAGAAACCAGTGTCTTTCGTTGTTGTATTAACCATGAGTTTAATTTACTCTTGACCCGATCAATTAGAATGTGAACATATTTCGTAATCTGTGACGCGTACCATTTGAGCAGAAAAACGAAATGATTAACAACAAAATTCAGATAACAATAGATATTTTATCCGAGTTTTGTAACCTACAAAAGAGATCGGAACAAATCCACGCGATGATATGGGGATTGGGGAAACCACAACTTCATAGATTCTAGCCTTCTTTTGACCTAGTCATAGGCATAAGGACTTTCAATTCCTGTTGACAACAATCACGTTAGGGAAAGTCTAGGACAATCACAAATCATCACATTACCTAAATCACAGGAGCGCAAGTCTCATATACCTTAAAGAACAGTAAGATTTATTTACTACAATTTTCTGTCTTTTCAGAACACTTTATCTTTTGCTTTCACATTTAAATAAATTTTTAGGTAGTCATCTCTTGTTTGTGATAACGCTAAACTAGATTTAGAAGTATAATAAACTAGAAATTCGCCCCCCCAGAAAAGTTCTTAACTCCTTCCATTTTGGATTGATACGCCGTACTTTTTAACCGCATTATTACTTGACAAGTATACTTCCATTGTGAGGCCAACTTACTTCGTTGAACTGCTGAAAATCTAGGTTCAGCACTTTATAATTTTATTTTTCTATTTATTTCATATATGTTTGCGCTTATATTGCTGCTTTGTTTTCTTGTAGGTGACGAAAATTTAAACAAAAAAAGCTGAAAAAAGTAAAAATGCCAAAAAGAAAAAATAAATAAATAAAAAAATGTTTCAACATTATGGATTGACAAAACTCTCAGGAAAACCAATTTATACATTTTCAGGGGTATACTAACCCATCGATGGCTAGCTATCACATGAATTTTGACCCCCCTGACATAGAAGCTAGTTTTGATCACACTTTTTCCAATACCTACAACCTTAATTGAACTGCCTACCCAAACTCTAATTGAAACATTAATAGTATTAGTGTAGAAAACCAAGATTGGGAGAGAACTTAAGCTAAATTTGCAGAAAATTGGAACAACTGGGACTCTAACCACATCTGTCAAACTCAACCTTGGAAAGTCATCTTGAAACCCCAATATAAGAAGGATAACCTGTGTTAGAAGAATCGATAGTAAATACGAAGAATCAATCCAACACCTACACCCACAGTTGGTCGACCTACCCCTGCTTCAATTGAAACAATAATAACTCGAGTGTAGACAACCAACAATGGGAGAGCACCCATGTCGATCCTATTGGAAGATGAAATAACCAGGATAGTGATTACCCTGAAGAAAATGAGCATTTGAATGAATTGGCAATGAACCTAATGGATCAATTACAAAGTCAAACTATCACATTACAAAACTTAGAAAATCAAAACGAGTAGTTGATACCTGAGAAAAAAAACTCAAACCACAAAAAATAACTTTTTTTAATAGAGAAATAGGGTTACAACATAAACAAAGTGGAAATAACATCACCAAAGCACAAACAACACAAATGGCACCTCGAGGTTGTATCACAAAAGGCGGTGGAGGTTGGTTGGAAAGTGGGATAGCGAGCCGGGTACAATAACCACTTTGGAGGACACAGCCGGAGCACCATCACCTCCTCGAATATAGCCTAGAGCAGGGAAAAAGATTCCACGCAAGAAATATGAAATCAGCTCACATCAAAAACAAAGTAGACCATAGCAAACCAGCATACATATAGCCCTAGCTCGGCGAGAAACAAGAAAGGAAAGAAGAGGAGAACGGAAAGAGGAAGCAATCGATAATGCTCGAACTGAAAAGGAGACGCAAGAGGAAGGACCAATGCCGCCTCTCCTAAAATCCTGCTCGATCCAGGCGGGAGATGTGAAAGGAAAGGCTGCTCGGACCGCATGATGCCATACACCTCTCTGGATGTCTGAACCGACTCCCTGGACCGGTCTGTATGTCGGCCAGTTCAGCCAGCTCGCTAGTTTCCTGCAACCATGCGGGAAACTTCCCACACACGCATCAGAAGTTAGCTTAGAAACCCAAAAGATTTCAGGTGTAGTGGAGAGTCATAACTTCGAATATGAAAAAGTGGTTCGTGAAGAGCAAGCTGAGTTGGAAGATTTTGGTGGGACAATGACTAAAAAAAAATTTGTTCTTCTTTCCAACGCTCGCCCTCGCAATGTGAACGAGATAGTTGAGTCTATAGTATCACCCATAGGAGTGTCCCAAGGGAAAGATTTGGAAGATAACACTAGGCAAGAGAGTGACCCCGTAGAATAAGATCCAGTATCTGAAAAACCTAGGAAGAACCCAACCCAAAATTTAGGAGACCATAAATTATTTTATAGGAACCTATTTCGTTAAACCATCGGAGAAAAAATTGATCTAAAATAGGGAAATTAATAGAAAGAATTTTATATTTTAAAAGAACTCTGAAGAATGATAATTTGAACAAATCCCCTACATATCCTCAAGATGATTGTTATAAAACTGAGAAGAAAAAACTGTAAGAAAAACTGAAATTTGATGATTTAGTAGAAACTCCCGAATCAACAAAAAATAGGTGAGTGATTCAGGATTACTAAATTGGAATTTCGACACTAGATGAAGCTTTTTTCGTCAAGCTAAGGATGTTAAACTAAATGTTATCTTGAGAGGCAACTCAAGTATTATCTGATGTATTTTTACTTTCTACATTTATTTCAAAAATTATTTTGAAATTTTCTTTGAAATTTGCTTTGAAATTTGTTTTAAACTTTCATTTGGATTTGTACCTCTTCTTATTTATGTATTGTCACATATTTTACATAGTTGTATTCCAAGAACATTGTGACTGCTCATGTTTTTACTCTTTTCTGCACTTACTTCCCACACCTATGTTTATTTTTATCAACATGTTACATATGTTATGGAAAAAAGCAAGTTTAGAGAGAAAAATGTTTACGTTTTTGCGAGTCTAAAAGTAATTCACATAACTCAGTAAAAGATTAAATGTTTATACAGCAACTCCTGTTAGGAATTTTGATTATTTCAAACTACTTGTCATAATCAATTAAAAGAAGATAAAAGTCATTAAAAAATAATTAACTTTAATGTGTTAATAATAAGACTTTAGAATTTAACAACTTAAAACTTTACATAAGAAAATCCATAGATTATTAAAATTTTGTAATTTAAATGTTAAGTAGCAAATCAAGAATATTTTTAATTTTTCTTCAGTCTAGTTTAATCAAATTAATGTCAAGTTAAGTTTTAACTGAAAAGATAACTTGGAAGTGGGACATTAAATTATCAAGTGCTGAGTTTTATTTGCATAAAAAACACCAACCTTCTTCATAATTAAAATTAGAAAAGAAAAATGTTGTCAACCATATATAGTAATTCTCAAGAGAAAAAGAAAAAAAAGAAAGAAAAGAAAAGGTGAAAAAGCAAAAAGCCCTGCGGA